GTGCATTACATGAAGAGCCTGTGTAATGTCTGTAGGTTGGTCTAGGGTCGATGATGCGAACCATTATGTTGGAGGAACAAGTGTAGGCGAAGGAGAGACAACATAGAAAGCTGCTGATGGTTGATGTTGTGAAAACATAGCACCCGAGGGGTGAGCAGGAGCAGTACCGAGGATTCTCTGTTGAGGCCGATGTTGTTGATGCTGTGAAACAAGGCTTTGTGGTCAATAAGGCTGCCACCATGTGGATTAGGGCCACATAAATGGGTTCCAAGAGATCGAATATGAAGACTAAGGCAGGCTCGACTGTGGCTGATTGGCGATAGCATGATGACGACAACTGTTTTTGGTTTGTAAGCCACCACGACGAGGTTGAGAGGGCTTATGACCTCCACGGTTGTTGTTGCTAGTTGGAGCACGTACACAAGTTATTTAATAGTGCGAGTAGTTTTTATTTTTTGAGGTTATCCATTCTAAAAACCGCCTTATTAAATATTTATAGCATCAAAAAATAAAAGAAGCGCACTATAAAATAGTTTTGTTAGTGCGGTTTCCCAAAATCGCACCATTAAAGCATTTTCTGATGCAGTTTTCCGAAACCGCACTAAAAAATCATGTGGAAACCGCCCCAAAAAATAATTACAAATGCACTAAAAGAAATTTGCACTAAAAAATATTGAATCGCACCAAAAAACAATTCACACTAAAAAAATATTGAACCGCACCATTAAATCTTTCCTTTAAAAATTTCATTTGAATTTTTTCATTTCGCGCTAGATCCCTCCAAGTTTCGTTCAAAATTTTCATTCAATCTTCCCTCTTTTATATAAAGTTAGAGATGCAACTTCTTCTCATAATTATAGATTTGTCGATTCAATGCTTGAAAACGCATGTGAGGTATGTCCATTATTTATCATTTTTTCATTAACGGCACTTGTACCTCCGTTTTTCTCTTATTAATTGTAAATTGATGTCCTATTTTAAGTTTTAATGATGTTTTCTCTTGTTCTGAATCTCTGCATATGCATATTCTTTCGTGATATATCTCCAAAAAAGGATCCAAATACTTATGATGTTTGCTTCAGTGACTTTCAATCAACGGATATGGAGCTAGTTTGTGCAAAGTGAGTTTTAAGATGTTGAAAAAGAAATTGAAAACACCATCGATGAAATGTAATTTCCCAAGAACGGATTTTTATTTGGTAGAGAAAAAGAAATTGCAGAGATTGAAACCACCCTTTTTGGAAAAAAGAAATTACGATTAACCTTTGATTGAAAAACACTCACCGAACATACCTAAATACAAGAAAATGAATCTTCATAAGTAGCGTGGTGTGCATCAATGGCGGACTTGTTAATAGGTGTGGTTTTAGCTAGCTATTTTTTGAGGCGGTTTTGGCTATTTTTTAGTGCGATTCTGGCTATTTTTTTAGGCGGTTTTGCTTATTTTTTGGTGCGATTTTGGCTATTTTTTTAAGCGGTTTTGAGTATTTTTTTTGTGCGGTTTTGCAACGGCATCATTAAATAAGGGTATTTTTTGATGCGATATTTTTTGGTGCGGTTCAATACCCGCATCATTTAATCATTTTAACCGCATCAACAAATGTTTTTTGAACTAGTGGTGGTTGGGGAGTAGAAGGGCTTCCAGCAAGAAGGGCAGTGGTGAAGATGCATGGTCTATATGGAGAGGTTGAGTGGGTTAAAATCATGTGGAAACCGCCCCAAAAAATAATTACAACCGCACTAAAAGAAATTTGCACTAAAAAACATTGAATTGCATCAAAAAACAATACACACTAAAAAAATATTGAACCGCACCATTAATCTTTCCTTTAAAAAATTCATTCGAATTTTTTCATTTCGCGCTAGATCCCTGCAAATTTCGTTCAAAATTTTCATTCAATCTTCCCTCTTTTATATAAAGTTAGATATGCAACTTCTTCTCATAATTATAGATTTGTCGATTCAATGCTTGAAAACGCATGTGAGGTATGTCCAATATTTATCATTTTTTCATTAACGGCAGTTGTACCTCCGTTTTTCTCGTAGTAATTGTAAATTGATGTCCTATTTTAAGTTTAATGATGTTTTCTCTTGTTCTGAATCTCTGCATATGCATATTCTTCCGTGATATATCTCCAAAATAGGATCCAAAGACTTATGATGTTTACTTCAGTGACTTTCAATCAACGGATATGGAGCTAGTTTGTGCAAAGTGAGTTTTAAGATGTTGAAAAAGAAATTGAAAACACCATCGATGAAATGTAATTTCCCAAGAATAGATTTTTATTTGGTAGAGAAAAAGAAATTGCAGAGATTGAAACCACCCTTTTTGGAGAAAAGAAATTACGATTAACCTTTGATTGAAAAACACTCGTCGAACATACCTAAATACAAGAAAATGAATCTTCATAAGTAGCGTGGTGTGCATCAATGGCGGACCTGTTAATAGGTGTGATTTTAGCTAGCTATTTTTTGAGGCGGTTTTGGCTATTTTTTAGTGCGATTTTGGCTATTTTTTTAGGCGGTTTTGCTTATTTTTTGGTGTGATTTTGGCTATTTTTTTAGGCGGTTTTGAGTATTTTTTGGTGCGGTTTTGCAACGGCATCATTAAATAAGGGTATTTTTTGATGCGATATTTTTTGGTGCGGTTCAATACCCGCATCATTTCATCATTTTAATCGCGTCAACAAATGCTTTTGGTACTAGTGGTGGTTGGGGAGTAGAAGGGCTTCTAGCAAGAAAGGCAGTGGTGAAGGTGCATGGTTTATATGGAGAGGTTGAGTGGGTCAGTTTCGATTTAAGGTTCATTCCTCTAGAGATAGTATTCACTTACATTTGAGAAAAGATGGTAAAGGGTCTTGATGGCATATAACAGTGGTTATGTTGCCATATTTTGGTGATAAGCCATTTATGAGGTATGTGACTAGGGTTGGCTCACGGATAGGAGATCCGATATTGGTGTGAAGATTTGAGATTACCTTCATGCATTCACAATATTGAGAGATTGTTAGATCTCCAAGAGTAAGAGTTCTTGATCTAATTCAATAGCATGAGTTAGTTGATTATCATGAAATAAAGTTTCGAGAGTTGTCCAAACAATGTGAGCAGTTGCACCTGGTTTAAGGATCATTTTGAGCAAGCTTTGAGTCAGGCCCGGTTTTAGGGTGGGGGGGAGTAGGTGCAGCCGCACAGGGCCCCGAAAAAAATAGGGCTCGATTTTTCATTAAATTATATATATTTAATAATTAAATATATATTAGTTTTTTCAAGTTTTTGCATAAATCCTGTTTAGCTCGATTGGCATAAGCACGTTCGCATCCTCTTCATTTCAAACAGGCGTACAGGTTCGATTCACATTCATGTCAACATCATTTTGCGGTTTTTAATTCAATTTACAGTTTTGGCCCTTATTTTGTAATATATAATTCATAATCAACCCTTCCTTTAACAAATAAGTTTTCAAAAGTTACACAATTAACCCTTGATCTTTTTATAAAATTCCATATATTTATTTTTAATTAATTTGTTTACTTTTAAGTTTTCGTAATGACAATTCACCGTCTTAAGTTTGTTTATCTTATATATTAAAAAAATTATATTTAGGGTCTCATTTTTCTTCTTAGCACATGGCCCTTAAAATCTCTGAGCCGACCTTGCTTTGAGTGATTGTGTCATATATCCACATCTTGACTAGGTCATCAATATTAAACCACGCTTCATCCTTGTTATCTACATGTTTAGAGTCTCCTGTGAGATGGTCATTGACCCCGAAAATGCTGCAGTGTGTTTGAAAAAGTTCTTTCCATGCATCATAGTTTAGCTGATTGAGATCCAAGATCATAGGAACATAAGATTTGATGTTGGTAACACCAAATGGTTTTTGGTTCTTGGATGATTTGGACATGTTAATGGGAAGTAGAATATATCAAATAAGGAAAGAGGGTAGAAAAGAATTAATGGAGGGAGAAGAGGCCAAATGCAAAGTGTTTGACAGTGGTGTAGGGTTTTAGCGAGAGAGAGAGAGAGAGAGAGAGAGAGAGAAAGAGAAAGAGAAAGAGAGAGAGAGAGAGGGAAAGATTTTGGCGGAAGTCTCTAATACCATGTAAGTGGTATTTTCCCATGGAATGGCCTCTGGCCTTGAAATCCATTTATATAGTAATCAAGTACAATATGGACTACATAAACCAAATATACAGGACATACATACAAATGACATACATGTATACATGGTAAGCTAATAATATTCTTCTTTAGGCTTCTCTCTTGCATTTGATTCATTATCTTTAATACTCAGAATCCAACTCGTCACCTCTTTGATCCAAACCAAAAAAAACCAGTCCTTCACTGGCAAACATTCAGTATCAACGCAAAGTGATCATTCTTGACAAAACTGCAAAAATGGCCCCTATGGGATAGTTTTTGTCTTCATGGTCCTTTTGGGATAGTTTCATTATTGTAGAATTGAGAACCAGGGTGAAACCAGGAATTTCGTAAGGGATAGCACATATTTTATTTTCCGATATAATATGAAGTATAATATTATAGCTAGCTTCTTAACACACTCAAAATCTATCATTTTCAAACTTAATTAGCAAACTAAGACACTATATATAGCTAGCTTCCTAAATCCTAACTCACTGGAATTATTTGATGTGATTTTCCTATATGATCTTAATGACGGATTAAGATAATGAATCTAACAAGATAATGTAACCCACATAGAAACAAATAGACGATATACATGTTGATATCAAAAGGATCTTCTCTTTTCTTTTCATGTAGTGCCACTCTTTGAGGTTTGCGGTTTGCCATGCCATAGGTTAATTACAAGGAAATAACAATTAATATGTTTTACCTTAGTTATTATAGATTATAATATAAACATGTTAGTGATAACAAGTATACGCTGCTATATTTTTCATAATTTATATTCTTGATAAAGAAATAGCTAGTAGCTGACAGAATTCAGAAATTTACACACAAATATTGGATCTTTTAATTTAGAAAGAAACTAAGGTTTCAATAAAGCGATGAACTTGCGACTTATAGATTATTGGGCTCAGATTGAATATCTGCTTGAAACTTTTGTCATATACATTGGACTTTATGATCTTCCCCGGAATAAAAATCGCCATGAACGTTTCATCATCCTCTTCACCCCTAACCACATCTAACACAGAATAATTGTATAATTGTGGAATCGACGGATCTTGGTCTCTACCTATCACCTTGATCGTCTGGATCATCTGAGGGTAAGCATTCAGAAGCTCATCAAGCTCCACTCGATACTTGAGAAACCACCCAGAATAATCGTTCAACATCTCATACACGTTCAGCTGTAAATGTCTCTCACCACGATCAGCCCACTTCCTCAACACCAAATGCAGATGACCTCGTGACTCCCCAAAGTAAATAGTCCCGTTAACTCCAACCACCGATGGCAAGAATTTCAACTCTTCTGTGTCAATCTTGAAGTAGCATGGGTTACTATTAGACCAAAGTGTTGTACCATATATTTAATTGTTTATATTTATTATTTGTGGTGTACCCTTGTAATTATTTATCTATAAATAAAGCATAACCCCATGATCATTGTCATGGAGAGTCATCTTTAATCTCATCATTTTTATGGTATCAAGAGCCTCTCTCCTTTCACCTCCCACCCCCTAAAATTCCGATTCTCCTTCTTCTTCCTCCTGTTTTGGTTTCCTGCCACCCTTCTCCTCCTTCCATCGGAAATCTGTCACCACCCCACTACCCCTCCCATGGCGTCTTCTTCCACCGAAACCACCCTACCCATGAACACAATTCTTCACCTCATTACCATTCGCCTCTCTCCCTCAAACTATCTGTTGTGGGTCAACCAAATGACCCCTCTCCTTACTTATCAAAATCTTTTTGATCATATAGACGGCTCCTCTTAAGCCCCGCCATCCCACCTTGTGGTTGATGGCAAGCCTACTCTCAATCCGGCTCATGCGGAATGGCTAGCTGCGGATCAACGGGTTGTTATTTTGCTTCAAGCCTCTCTCACCGAGGAGGCCTTCTCAGAAATTGTTAGCCTCACCACCGCTCGTTCCATTTGGTTGGCACTTAAGGCTTCCTTTGGGAATTCCTCCATGGAACGTGTGCATAACCTTCGTGACACTCTTCGCCTCCTTACCAAGGGTTCCGCCTCGGTTTCAGATTTTGGTAGGCGTTTCAAGACCATTTGTGATCAATTAGCCGCTATAGGCCACCCCGTTGACGACGAGGACAAAAATCATCATTTTTTGCGAGGACTTGGGGGATCATTTGAGGCCTTCTCCTCTGCCATACGTGCCTCCGGGATGTCTCACTCCTTTCGTGACCTTCTTGCAAAGGCCGAGGGCCATTACATGTTCATTTCTTCGCTCCACAGTGGCTCCACCCCACCCGTCGCATTTTCTACTGCTGCTGCCCCCGGTGCCTCCGCGGCTGCCACTGCCTCTCGTGGTCGTGGTCGGGGTGGTGGTCGTGGCCTTCGTCCCCCTCATTGCCAACTTTGTCGGAATAATGGTCACTATGCAAGTCAATGTCCTCAACTCTCTTCTTTTGCATCTTCTCCTCCCGCAAATGATTCGGATTTGGTGAAGGCATTTTTATCCAAATGTAATGTTTCAACTTCTGGCCCGGATTGGTATGTGAACTCTGGTGCTTCCGATCACATGGTTTCGTCCTCCGCTTCGGTTAATCAACCCGTGCCTTTTGGTGGTGATGGCTCGGTCCATTTTGGGAATGGTAATACCCTTCCTATCTCTTCTATTGGATCCTCTTCTCTTAATAATGGGATTCGTTTGCAGGATGTTTTGGTGGTTCCGCAACTCACCAAAAATTTATTATCGATTAGCAAATTGACATATGATAATAATGTGGATGTTCTTTTTTCAAAATTTTACTGAGATATTCAGGACCGGGAAACGAAACGGGTGCTAGCCCGAGGAAGGCGTGACCATGGATTATACGTTCTCTCCACCAAACCTCCTGCACATGCTTGTTTTGCTAGTCGGGGGTCCAAGGCGTCGTTTGAGTTATGGCACTCTCGTTTGGGCCATGTGTCGTTTGACACCATTTTGTTATTAAATAAACTCGGATGTATTTTTGTTACATCTATTTTACCTAAGCCGGTTTTATGCTCTCCGTGTCAATTAGCGAAATCGCATCGTTTTCCATTTAATAATAATAATACACGTGCTGTTGGAGTTTTGAATTTGGTCCATTGCGATCTTTGGGGCCCATCTCTGGTTACCTCGGTTGATGGTTATCGCTATTATGTTACCTTTGTGGACGATTTTTCTCGTTTTACGTGGTTTTACCCACTTAAAACAAAGGCCAGATTTTGCATGGTGCTTGAGACTTTTATTGTATTTGTGGAGACACAATTTTCATCCAAACTAAAAATATTTCAAAGTGATGGTGGTATGGAATTTTTAAATAATTGGGTTAAGACCATTTTTCGCGCCCGTGGTATTTTTCACCAAGTCTCATGTCCCTACACCCCTCAACAAAACGGGCGGGTTGAGCGCAAACATGGTCACATAGTCGAAACCGGCCTTGCCATGATGTTCCATGGCCACATTCCAGCCTCTTATTGGGTGCATTCTTTTAGCTCGGCGGTATATATTATTAATCATTTGCCCACCAAAGTGTTGGCCACCAAATCACCATTTGAAGTCTTGTTCAATCGAGTTCCGGCTTATGACACTTTTCACCCGTTTGGGTGTCGGGTTTATCCATATTTGCACGACTATTCGCCCCTCAAACTTTCCCCCCGGAGCATCCCGTGCATATTTCTTGGTTATCACTCTCAATATAAAGGGTTTCAATGCCTTGATCCGGTGTCCTCTCGCATATTTATCACGCGCCATGCTCGGTTTGATGAGGTTAATTTCCCGCTTGGTGGCCCCACCGTTGCGACACCGCTTGCTTCTCTTCGCTTGCAAGAGTTTTTGTCGGATGTGTCCGGTTGTTTCCGCACCTGCTCCGGCTCCGGTCACTCCCCCCGCATCTGCTCAGGCTGCTCCCTCCGGCCCGTGTTCGGCCTGCCCAGAGCCTGATCCACCTAGCATCGACCCGGCTGACCCGGTTGGCCCGAACGCTCATCCGGCAGCTCCATCTCCTACCCCCGCGCTCCATTCTTCTGATTCGGACTCCTCGAGAAGCTCTTCGTCTTCGTCTTCTGATGACGAAGGGGCTGCTGACCCAAACACTCCGCCCCCTCCACCTACGTCACCCATGGCTCCATCGCACCCTATGATAACACGGGCCAAAGCGGGTATCTTTAAGCCTCGATACCTGGTTGATCTTGCGCATTTTGAGTCCCATGGCTTACTCTCTGCGGTTCTTTCTACACCCGAGCCGACAAATTATTCTATTGCTATTAAGGATCCCAAATGGCATTCGGCTATGAAGTCCGAAATGCTTGCTTTACAACAAAATCATACATGGTCCTTGGTTCCCCGTCCTAAGTCTTCCAATATCGTTGGTTGTCGTTGGCTATTTCGCACCAAATATCGGGCGGATGGATCCATTGAGCGCTACAAAGCACGCCTTGTGGCACAGGGGTTTAGTCAAGTTCCGGGCTTGACTACTCTCATACCTTTAGTCCGGTGGTTAAAGTTGCAACTGTTCGAATTGTACTCACTCTTGCTATTATTAACGGTTGGTCTTTGCGGCAACTTGATGTCAATAACACCTTTTTACATGGCACGCTTGGTGACACTGTCTTTATGCAACAACCGCCTGGGTTTGTTGATACTCGGTATCCGGATTATGTTTGCAAGCTTAATAAGGCTATTTATGGCTTGAAACAGGCCCCTCGTGCCTGGTTTCATCGTCTTAGCGCGTTTTTGGTCGCCCATGGTTTCTCTTGTAGTCGGGCTGATCCTTCCCTTTTTATATTTCGCAAGGGTAGTTGCCTCTTTTATTTGTTGGTATATGTGATTGATTTGATTCTCACCGGCTCTGACACCTCTGTTATCTCCTCTTTTGTCGCTCAGCTTCATGCCGAATTTCGCATCAAAGATCTTGGTTGTTTGAGCTACTTCCTTGGTCTTGAGGCGTCCCATCTTCCCTCCGGCCTGTTTTTGAGTCAGGCTAAGTATGCTCATGACATTGTTTCACGTGCTGGTCTGCTCGATGCCAAACCTATGCCCACCCCGTTGGCTTCGTCTGTTTCCATGGTTCGGGATGGTGTTTTATTTGATGATCCCACTCACTATCATTCTCTGGTTGGGGCACTTCAGTACCTCACTATTACCAGACCAGATACCTTGCTGCCCCTACCGTTGATCATTTTCAGGCAGTGAAGCGGCTCATTCGTTATGTCAAAGGCACCATTAATTATGGTCTCACCTTCTCCCGGCCTTCTCGCACAACCATTGTTGGCTACTCTGATGCTGACTGGGCTCGTTGCCTCGATACTTGCCGCTCCACGTATGGGTACTCGATATTCCTGGGGTAATCTCGTGTCTTGGAGTGCTAAGAAGCAACCTACGGTTTCCCGCTCCAGTTGCGAGTCTGAATATCGAGCCATAGCCAACACTGCTGCTGAACTTATGTGGGTCACTCATCTGCTTTGGGAGCTTCATGCTCTGCCGCCCGGTTCACCAACTCTCCTGTGTGATAATCAGAGTGCATTATTTCTTACTCAAAACCCGGTGGCTCATAAACGCGCTAAACATATTGATCTTGATTATCATTTTGTTCGTGAGCTTGTGGCTTCCGGCACGCTTGTCACCATGTTTGTTCCTACCAAGCTTCAGGTGGCAGAAATATTCACAAGGAGTCTCTCTCGACACCAGTTTGAACAGTTTCGTCATATGCTTCGTCTCGGTCCACCACCTTAAGCTTGAGGGGAAGTATTAGACCAAAGTGTTGTACCATACATTTAATTGTTTATATTTATTATTTGTGGTGTACCTTGTAATTATTTATCTATAAATAAAGCATAACCCCATGATCATTGTCATGGAGAGTGATCTTTAATCTCATCATTTTTAGTTACCATTGGAAGGAACCCAATGAATCGCTTGATGCAAATAAACGCCTTCTCTGAAGTTTGTATGATAAGGCGCAGAGAAAATTTGTTCTGAAATCTTCCATTTCCCTGTCTCCGATGAGTATATTTGAATTTGCAACCGATCTTCATCACGTTTAATATAACAAATGCAAACAACTGTGTAGCGAGGACATTCTGTTTGGTGAAAAGCTAGACCCATGTATATGATAGTTCTACGAACATTTCCGCCTCAAGGAACCGATGGGATGAGCGCAAATTGCTTGGTGGTGGGATTGAATACGTAATATTTACAGTCACGCGGGATTGCTTTTTTGCTATAGCAAAAAAGCAATCCATTACACGATTGGATGATTTTAATACCACGATGATCAGGATAGAAGTCGAGATTACGAAAAGGAGGAGGGCTTCTGTTCTCATCGTCAAATGGAACATACAGATCTTGAAAGAACAAGCCAGGAGAGATCAAACCATTTTTATACAGAAGGGTGAAACGTTGGTCGCTCAAAAGGGAACGCCAGTGTTTGGATACAGATTTGCATCGAAGAACAGAGGTAACTGGCAGCCTGAGAAGGATTTCGATTAGAAGATCATCGTTGGAACCGATTAATTCTCCAGAATGCTGCCGGTTTTCTTGATTTGGGTTTTTGTGTTCATCGTTTTTTTTAGTGGGTTGAAAGCCTTGAAGAAAAGGTGTATTTGTAAGATTCATTTTCATGGTGAAAGGTTGTTAGGGTAAACAGAAAATGAGATTGTGACGGAAGCTTTGCGCAAGATTTTGATGTTGACTTGAATTTGTCAAAAAATTGAAGGCCATTCATAGTTTCAAACAATGACAAAAAGAAAAGGTAAAATTGGAGTCGTTTTTTTTTTCTTCAACCACATCCCTCAATCAAAAGTAAATTACTAATTTTGTTTATATAGTTTGCATTTTCTTTGTTTAAGTACAAAAAATAAAAAAAAAAACATATTTTTTTATTAATTTGTTTTGTACAATTTTAGCATTTGGTAGGACTAATTTTATAGAAAACGTTCTCTTAGAGAGAGAGAAGGAAATTTGAGAAATTAAGGTGGTGCTAATATATCTTGGACATCAACAAAAGTAACCATTATAAATTAGTCCATGTTTCAAAGTTGTAGCAAAGGTTATGTGTTTTCATGTTGAAAGATTGCAACAAAGGATGATATTAACAAGATTACCATGGAAGCTTTGCCCAAGATTTCCTTGATGTTGACCAAATTTGTCGATAGTTTTGAAGTCCTCAATAACATATCAACAACTCGTGAAAATACTATAATAACAATGTACTTCATTTTATTTGTGTGTGATAGTATCCTACTTCCATTTCATATTGTTACAACATTGTATACTTTAAATTGGACATTACTCGTATAAGAATGAAACCAAAGATTCAATATAACGATGAACATTCACATGTCCAGTCAGTCCATGTAAATAGATTTGATCAGATATCTGTTTGAAACTCTTATCCACAACATTGAATCTTATGATCCTCCCTGGAATTCTAATCACCATGAATGTTTCATCTTCTCTTTCGCCCCTAACCACATCAAACACTTCAAATTCATAATAACCCCGGCTCGATGGATCTAAATAGTCCCTAATCATCTCTGGGTAAGCATCCGGAAGCTCATCAAGCTCCACTGCATACTTGAGAAACCACCCAGAATGATCGTTCAACATCTCGTACACGTTCAGCTGTAAATGGCTCACACTGCGATCGGCGGCCTCCACAAAATGCAGATGGCCTCGTGACTCCCCAAAGTAAAGGGGCATATCCCCGTTTTCATAACCTTCAGAAGATGCCTCCGGCATCATCGGCAATGGGAGTGATTGCAACTCTTCTATGTCGAGCTTAAAGTACCATGGAGTAACACAACATGGAGCCCAATGGATTGCTTGATTCCAATAAACTATGTAGTGGAAGGATGCATAATAAGGAGCAGACAAAGAGAAAGATTGATCTGAAATCTTCCACTTCCCTATATCAGACGAGTAGATTTGAATCTTAAACGGCTCGCCTCGGTTAGCACGGTGAAAGCAAACAAGCTTGTAGTGAACACAATCTGTTTGATGAAATGCCAGACCCATAAAATAAATGGCTTTTCGAGTAGCCGCGCCTCCAAGAACTGACGGGATGACTGCAAATTGCTTGGTGGTGGGATTAAATACGTAATATTTATGAACACGTTCTTCCCCCCGATGGCTACAACAAAGTAGTAATCCATTACAAGATTGCACGATTCTAATACCACAAGGATCAGGATAGAAGTCGAGATCACGAAATGGAGGAGTACTTCGGTCTTCATTATTAAATGGAATATACAAATTGCGAACAAAAAGGCCAGGATAGGAAGAAGCATTTTTATACAGTAGGGTAAAACGCGGGTGACTCAAAAGGGAACGCCAGTGTTTGGATACAGATTTGAATCGAAGAACAGAGGTTACAGGCAATCGGAGAAGGATTTCAATTAAAAGATCGTCGTTGGAACCGATCAGAGCTCCAGACTCCGTGGCCAGATGATTGGTGTCGGCCATGGCAGCCTTCGAGAACCAGAGGTTTATGGTGTTCTGGATTTTCTTGATTTTAGATCTGGTGTTCACCATTTTGGGAGTGAGTTGAAGGCCTTGAAGAATAGGGTATTTAAGGGTTTTTTTTTCTTAAATTTTATGGTGAAAGATTGTCATGGAAGCCATTGAGTAAACATATAAGCAGATTGCCATGGAAGCTTTGTTGACGTTGACTTGAATTTTTCCATAATTTTGGAAATGGTCCCTGATTGAAAAAATTATGTGGTTTTCAACTTTTCGCAATCCATTGTAGATATGTTTTCGTCTCTTTACAGTACAGGTTGTTACAAATCTGTTAGTGCTAAATATTTTATGCAATTTCTTTTCACATCAGTTATTTTGGCATAAACATAGGTAGGAAATGAATACACGTCAAATCTGTTAGTGCTAAACTACTGATTTATTTTTAATTGACATTTGTATAATTGAGCGGGATATAACAAAAAAAAAAAATACAGCAATATTATGAAAGAACAACTAAGGGTTTAAACTCCAGACTAAAACACAGAACAGATAAATGAAAAAATTACCTAACTACCCCTATCTTCATTTCTTGAAATTACAACATTATAATTGAAAAAGCATGGAACAGCTAAGGGTATATGTGCCTGAAACTGGTGCTGCTGAAGATGGAATTGGAGTATTTGCTGTTGTTAATCTTTTGTATGGAGAGCATTAAGTCGAAAGGGTAGTTTTGGAATAACACCACTACCACCACCACCATCTTCTTGAGGAGCTGCTATCATTGTCAATTAAGGGCAACATACTTTCTATTATGGTGAAAAGTCAAGAAAACCTTTCACAAAGGGTAACTTTATTTGAAAGAAAACTGTTATTTATTGCATTTACCCCCTTCATGGAAATGCAAAAAATGGCAGTATACTCTCATTTATTCTGTCAATTATACTATCGTAGTTTTTTTATTTTGCCCCTATTTTCTTGTGTGTATTCTTCTATATTATATGTATATGTTATGTTACTTTGATAAAAAAAAATGTCGAGTTATAGCAATGTCCTTTCAAAATACGTTGCTATAATTTGTAACACTTCATATATGTGTTCATTCTTCTTTGTTATAGGTATAAAACTACGTTGCTATTTTTTGCATCAGTGCATGTTATATTTGTACATTTGTGAAGTTCTATGGAAAAAACCATTTTTAATTTTTAATATAACTCCCTACTTATCTGTTTTTCCTTCATTTTTTGTTTTTGTCAATTTATTCCATTAGATTATCAACAACTTATTAGTTATAAGCTCTATTCCAGATATAAAGGCCAGAAAGAGTCAAATGTACCATATTAGATGGTGATGAAGGTGGATGACTTTCGATGCTCTTCTTCAAATAAACCCACTCCATCAATGTTTTTCTCCTGCAATGGATTTAATTCAGAATTTGACATCAACACCAATATGATTGCCTACAAAATAAACAATTGCTCGCGGAAGATACTATCTAACAAAATCTAAATCATGTGGAGTAGCATGTGAAGACACCACAATACATAAAAATTAAACAAATTTGATCAATTATATAAATAATACAAAATAATTGTATAAAACCTGCAATGTTATTTGTAAATGAATGTTGATTTTTTTTTTTGGTGGTTTGAAGTTTGAACATAAAAAATGTGGACTGGGTATAATCAGGTTATGGTTATACATATAAAAAAAATAATGTACCGTTTGTCATTTCCAAATGTCATGTAGTTCAATGTTATGTTATCGTCCTTCATTTGTACATGACATTATATTTTGTTTCTGTTATTTATTTGTTGCAGACAGCGTGGTAATTTCTTATATAATATGTGCATTTCTTCATGCATATTTGTATACCATAGAGTTCCAAAAAAGAGGTCTTCCCCACTGTCACACGTTGATTTGGGTTAAAAGTGCATATAGGATCAAGAATCCAGCCGATGTGGATGCATATATTATTGTTGAACTGCCAGATCCAATGATGGAACATCAGTTGTATGAAACGATAACAACATGTATGATTCCCGGTCCATATGGTCCACTGAATGAAAATGCTCCATGTATGAAAGATGGCAAATGTAACAAACATTTCCCAAAGCCGCTTCTTGAATCTACGCTCTTTGGTATTGAAGGTTATGTGCGCTACAAGCGTGGTTCATCTGCCCAACACATAATTGTTGGATTAATGTCTAAGTCCATAACTATAATTGGTAAGACTTGACCCGACCCGGCATGGTCCATTTGGGTTGCATACCGTCATGCACTTGGATAGACTATAATGAGAGAAATAAGACACTTATGGTTATTAATATATTGTAAGTTCTAGTATATTAATAATAAGAATAATAAGATTATTTAATTAGTATTGATCAAGAATTAATCTAGGATTAATTAAGTGATCAAAAGAAGACTAATTAAATATATGGGTTGATTGTGTAAATCATCCATACTTATATAGTGGGCTAATGCTCCAAGGATAATCAAGTTGGGCTAAAACCCATAGGATGGTCCATGGATGCTCCATGGTGTATTTGAACCCATGGATCCAAGGAAATGGAAAGTCATGACAATTAAGGATTTACCCTAATTGTAACACTATATAAAGATCTTATTCTTGACAAAAATCGGCCACTAGAATCACATTAGAAAGTGAAGAAGAGGGCTAGCCGATTTCATGAAGTGTAGAACTCTCTCAAGTTATTCTAAGTGTTATGATGATTGTGGTTCCATTTGAGGCTTCCACACTATTGGGGCTAGGCACTCAAGCTTCATGAAGACTTTCTACATCAAAGAGGTATGTATTCTATCATGTTACACTCATTGTTTTGTATGCTAGATTAGGATAATACCTTGGATGTTCTTATTTGCATGTATAATAGAGAAAACATAGATCCATGTATTTAGGGTTGCATGTACACTTAGGAGTGTTAGAATGCTCAAAACCCAACAGTGGTATCAGAGCCTAGGCTTGTTTTCTTGTTATACCTGCAATAGATGCTTAAAAAAATCGAAAGTGTTGCTATTTGATCATTAGACTCGGCGAGTCCATCAAGGGACTCGGCGAGTCCATGCCTAAAAATTGATCAAAACGATCCAACTCGCCGAGTTGGTTCATGCACTCGACGAGTTGGACCCCGGACAGCATATTTTCGAGGTTTGACTAGAAATGGACTAGGAACATTACCCTAAGTTGTTTTTGAACTTATAAACTTGTTTTTTAATGTGGTAATGTTCATGCTAATCCATTTTTAAAGATAATTGTCAATAGATTCATGTTTTGTATTAGTTTAAGGTTTAGACTAATTACATGAGAAAGTTTGATTTGAATTATCTTGTTCTTATGAGTTGCTTAGATTAATAGAAAAGTTAATTGAAATAGTTGTTTTCAATCCATTTTAATCTAAGAGTTGAGTATAAAATGTGTTTGTGTAACTTGTCCTCAAGTTACATGAAAAGTCACATTAAAGACTCATAAAACTCATAAAAGTTGGTAATGGTTACAAAATGAAGAGTCTTGTGTCATTGAATTTTTTTTTATGACTCCATAACTTGTCCTCAAGTTATGGAAGTTCAAGAGTCACTTCATTAATAAATAAATAAATAAATAAAGTGTAACCTTAATTAATTCCATAAGTTATAAAAATAAAGAAAAGTTAATTCTTTTATTAGTTTAAAGTCTTCCATAAGTTATGGAACTTGAAGAGTTTTTTGGATTAAAGCTACTTTAAACACATAAGTTATGGAATTAATTAGTTTTGAATAGTTTCAAAACTTGCCCTCAAGTTTTGGAATTTGAAAAGTTTTCACTTATGAATACTTTAATTCCAAGTTAGCCCTTAGAATTCTAAAGAGTTAAAATTCAACACTTATACTATTTATAACATTAATGGTTAATTATATATATATATATATATATATATATATATATGTATAAGAACAAGTCGTTTTACTGTTAGTAGGCCTCATTCACGAAACCGGTCTATAAGGTGGGTATAAGGTTGTTGCCTATAAAATGGCGACTTAATGGGTGTATACTCTCACCCACCGCTTGCTTGACTGGTGGAGGGTCGTTAGCCGAACGGGTAGGACAATGACTTTAAATTCTCCCTTCATTAAAAGTATTAATGATAAATACTACGTAACTAAAATCTTAATAATTCCCAATCTTAGTTACTTTAGGAAAAATGTGAATTTGGTGCTAGCCCATGGAATTCACACTTTGTACCTTACCAAGTCGTTGGTGGAGCGTGTGTGGTTAACCGGCACACTAACTTGGACTAGTAAGGACCACGAAGGGTGACTTAATGTTTGTCATAGATCAATGGAGCGTGTGTGGTTAACCGACACATTGATTAGGTGATAATATTAAGGGTACCAAGTGAATTGGTATGGTTATTCACACCTTGTTTTGTGATCCTCGGCATCCCAGTCACAAAATTTGAGAGGGCACACTCGAGATTGAAACATGCCATTGAAAAGTTCAATGAATCTCAAAAGATCTAGGAATTTCAAATCCAATTAAAACCTAATAAATTATTTCGTTTTTCATGGTGGAAATTGGTGAATCATCATTCGCCTACCTTCAAATATTTTATAGCTTGGATTACGGCATCCCTCTTCCAAATTATAAAATATTGTGTTGGGTCCTAGCCTTAATATTTCATATTGGGTGTCATATTAAGGACTTTAAATCAACTATCTTGAATATCTCCCAAAACATGTCTGGTTTAGACATTTATGATCTTCCCAAATCTCTTGAAGATGATGTTCCTCAACATCATGCTTCATTTCCTTTATCTCCTCCAATTATTCTCCCTCACCCACAAGTTCTTGAAAAGTTTAAAGTCACTCGAGCCCTATTGGCAAGTAAAGGTCTTGGTGTGGTCACATCTTGGAGATGTAGTCACATATTGACAAGCCGGGAGAGTTGGGTGTCAAATTCTTGAGAAAGTTGGTGGTTCAATCACTTTCTAAGTCACATAGTAAGTTCTTTTGGAACACCTATGAAAAAGACTATGACAAGACCCTTAATGATTTTATCTATTTGTTAAGATCAA